GTTAGCGTCCTCCAGGGGATTCCCCTTTCCGTCGGCCTACCCCATCGGGACGGTAATCAACCGGTGAATATCTAAACTGCAGCTTCGAAACTCGACTCATCCCCCCAACGTCCACCCCCTTCGTTCTCTCATTTATAAAGAAGAGGCCAGCCCGAACGGGAGGTGCGATTGATCCACCCTTGAACCGTGTTTCGTGTCCTTTTCTATTTCATTGTTCGCTCTTGCCGCCGCATACCGTTCTACTATCTTTTTCTTTTCATGGAAATTGCAACGAGCCATTGACGGATCGTGATTCAAGCCCGATCGAAAGACATCGATAATCGATCGGTATATTTCGTACAAATCCGTTGCGATAAAAGTCACGCGATTTACTCGAAAATTAGCAATTTTGCAGATACTTTGAAAAACTTTGAAATCTTGAGAAAAATCGCGTAACGCTTGTGGTCGCGAACAATTATCGCTTCCCTCTCGAAAACCGTTAAAAATCAGAAACAACGCCTCGCATTCGGAGCGGTTGGCTTCTTTCGAAAGAAGCAAGGGCCGAGAGACGGGTGATTTTAAACCCAAGAAATTCTTCGTTGGCTTCTAAGTGAATTGAAAATAAAAAACAAGATGGTTGGCGGTATAAATAATGTCCAAGATCGGAAGAAGACCGTGAAGGGTCGGCCAGCCAATACTTTTCGCATCGGGATCGCAAGGGTTGGGGGTGAATTGTTATTCGTGCGGCGTAGAGGCTCGGTGTCGCTTTCACTAGAGTCGGTTACTGATAAACGAGCGGTTTCACCCCCACGCGTCCAAATGTAAACTCACCCTTCTTTCCCGACACGCTTCCAGCGGGTGGCACAGCCACGGTGTAAATCGTTTTCCGACTCGAACGATTGTCGCCGACAGACACGGCTATTAATCGTCGTCGTTCCGATCCATGGATCGGCGACAGTCTGTTAGTAGGTCATGAGTAAGTTGGAAAGATTATCTGATCGTTGACACGCGTTATTCTTCGAGAATTATTTTGAACGAGTCATAATACGTGAATAAGTATACTGCAATTGCTAATGAATAACAGCCGATGACGAAGATCACCGATTCCGATCGGAGAGAAAATAATACTCGAACGATATTGTAGAGGAAAGAACGGCGACAGCGGAGTGAAAATGTAACGACGACATTCGTGGAACGATGTCGTCCTCCGTTAAAAGCATCGTTTTAGGTTAGCTTTCGCGACGTGGCATCGTTCCCTCGCGGAAATAGCGGTTATTTTTTTCACGGATCCAACAGAGAAGGGTGAGACATTAGCCATAAATTCGTGGGTCCCCAGTGGCGAATAGCGGAGGAGCCGCAATGCCAATTGTATAAATTGGCTATGACAAACTTATCGTCCTGCTAGCGTCGCGATCGTTCGTAAGTTCCCTACACGTCCTACGAGGTCGATACTATTTCGGTTGGTCGGAATTTCGTGCAGGTGCGTTACCCCCGTGGTTCCCTCGTGATCGTTTGAGACATCGTTCCCCGGAGGTCTACGAGAAAACGTGACGTTCCACCTTTAGCCCCTCACGTACCATGGCCAACGCCGTCTGCTAAAGTCTGCCTTTGTCCCCTTCCGAGACGTTCGTGAATCGTACGTTTTCCTCTCGAACGAATTCCGTCACTCGGTCGCGCAACCAGTTGCCGCAACCATCGAGTATAGTGGTATTCTTGCAGAAATAAAATGGATCGGTACGTAGAAATGTCTCCTTTGCCGTTATCGGTAGCCGTATCGATATGATTTTTTAAAAGGAAAAGAAAGTTCCGAGTCCACAGTCAATAGGGAGAAATAACCTCGATTGATATCGAGCGGAAGAGAATGTTTGTTTTGATTGAGCGAAGGACATGTCCCCGTACAGACGTTCACCCTTGTGTATGATCCCCTTGCGATTGGTATTCGGGCAAGGGTGGATCCCTTGGATTCGTGTAACAGCATCGGGGACATGTGTCATCGTGGACGATAGGTGGCGGTGCGGCAGCCGGAAATAGCTGTTTAAAATTGCATCGAGCATGCTACCGTTAAAGGCACGTGCGCTTTTTTAATGTCCCGTCGAATGCTTACGATAATGTCCTTTAAGCTTTTATTAACGGTTAGCTGCGGTACGTGGGCCGAATCGCCATGGCCATTCGAATGCGACATCACGAACGGCCTTCGGATCTCCTCCCTGGAGATCTCGCCAGATCTGATAACACGTAAGACATTTATTTTTCCCGAGGAACAGAAACCGATTCATTTCGCGTGTAATCTTTTTCGGCGAACACCGTTGCCCAACACGCCTTGTTTTTCCTTCGCGTTTTCTCCGCGACTGACTCGCTTTTTAACCGTGAACACCTTCGCCAAAGAGCAATCGCGACAGAAATTTTATGCTCTTCGACATTTCGAAATCGGAATACGATTTCAAACGATTATAATACTATCAAAACGTTGAAAACACGTATATGTATATAGTATTACATATGTTTTACTTGGTAAAATTATACACGAACTGTGCTACTTAGAATCTGCTACTCCGAGTCCGATCGCGATAATCGGGCTTCCATGTTTCGCGAACCTCCAACGAAACGGATGGATCGACGTCTTCCATTTCGGGATTATTTTCTTTTACCTTTCTAGAAGGAATTTCTACGAAGTCGGGTGAAATTAGTTGGTACTCGACAGGTAATAGCGAAGTATCCGCGATATCGAAAGAAATTTAACGAACTTCTAAGTTAAATACTCACGTGCAGGAGTTTTACGAAATTTATTTTTCAGTTGCCTCCATAATTTTTTAAACATCCATGTATGCCGTTGACGCGAATCTATTATAGAATGAAAGAAATTCGAAATAATTCGAAAGCGATACTCTTTATACTTCGCTAAAATAATTCTAACCTTTCGCGATTGCGTGATCAGCATTTTCTAGTAACTGAAAATATTTTACGATGTATCTTTGCCTCAGCATTACTTTACGAAGAATTTCAGCAGATTAAAGGGTTCGATCGACGAGAGACACGAACGTTTCAATTCTTTTTACAGTTTCATCGTTAGAATTTTTGGTCGCGGCTAATTTTGAAATGCAGCGAAGTTGGGTAAAAAACAATGCGTACGAAATGCTACGAGATTATCGAAGAATAGTTAGAAACAAGAAGTTTTGATTGTTTGTAAAATAGGAATTTTAGTCTGATCTTCTTTTAAAAAAGTTGACGGTCTTCCACGAAATTTCAAATTCCAAGATGAATAATTTTCTTGGCAAGGAACAGGAAGACGGTCTTAAAACCTTCGGTTATGGCACGATATATTATTGAACAGCTTCTTAAGGAAACCTTTTAATTATTTTAACGAAACTTCGCTCACAGCTATATGCACGCATCGCGAATGAGCAGAACTTGCTCGCTACAGCGTATTCGAATAATTTGACTCGACTTATAAAAAGTACATGCAATCTATGCACGTAGATACTGTTTATTCTATCGATCCAGGATACGTTAACGGATGAAATAAGATAAAAGAAGCTTGTTTGCGAGAAATCACGCGAGTAAGACTATCGAATCGAAGGAAAGAGTTTGCGAGACGTCGCGTACGAGTTTAGTGGTGTCGGATCGATAAGCAACCAATCGAAAAGAGAAAGAAAAGTGTCCATTATGGCATTAAGGTTCGCGGAAGGGGCCCTGGTCTCATGGGGAGAAAAGTTTTGGCAATGATTAACAGGAATCCAAGCTGTGGCTTCGATCGGTAGATGGAACTCGCCTGGCTCGATTTGCCGAGAATAATTATGTCTCGATAGCAACTTCTGGACGCGGAAACTCTCCATCGTACTCTCCTTATTTCGTTTACGGCGGACAGTCTGAATCGGTCAGCGACATTACCGATTAAATACACTTTTAACGCGTATTCGACGCGTACGGAAAATTTATCGGTAGCCGGTAGATGAACTGGCGCATGCTTCCGTCAGCTGAACACAGCGACGAAACGAATCGAAAAAGTAGAGAAACGAAGTAAGAAAAGCAGACAGTCTAACGAATCTGTCAATGAAAATCGCTGAGAAGTGAATAGAGACGGCAAATTAAAGAAACGTCATCGATACTATCTGACTCGTCTCAAAATTCACCCAGTGTCAGTGATCACTCAGGGTTTTTATCATTTTTTCTTAATCATGCTGAGCAGATATTTCGGTTCGGTCAAACTGATACAAGGCATCGTTAACCCCTCGTTTCGGAGGACTTTATCCGCAGGTGAGCTATTCTCATCGATGCTGGTCAACGTTAAAAAAAGAGAATCGTACGGTAGAGGGATAATAATCTATTATTTGTCGAAATAGAAATAACTATTTCGTTCCTCCGCAATAGAGCCATCGAAATATATAAGTATTCTTTAATAAATTTTCTCATCGATAAATTCCGTTCGTACAGCATCGATAAGATACGGGGAGGAGACAAACCGAAAGAAAGGGAAAGAAGGTGTTTTCTCCTGGCTAAAGGACATCTTGAAATACGGTGAGGCCCCTTCTTGATTAGATCCGATCATAATTATTCCGCGGTTGTTCTTCGACCGCGAGTTAACAGGCCGGTAGCCGTCGCCGGTATCGAAGGCCGGCCAGAGGAAAATTCGATGGGCCATCGGCTCTCGTCTTCGTCCCTGAGTACACGCTGGAATAATCTACTGGCCCGGCTACTGGTTCGCTTTCAACCCGTCTTTATCGAACATCGCGCGCGTTAAATACATAATAACCGTGCTAAAGTCGTGCAAAGCAGTGCTAATATAATGCTTTGTAGACGATGAGATCCAGGAAGCTCGAAAAGCGAGCAGCGATCAAGATCCGGTTACGATTCTCGATTATCCGGAGATTAATCGAACGTGTTCGAAAGACTCGAAACGCGATCGTATGGACGACCGAGGTTCGATCCCGTTGAATTCGGAAGAATACCCGAAGAACAACGGCGTTAATCGTGAACCGCGTAAAGGTCTGTCTTGTCAGAATCTGTTGGTTCCCTCGGAAAACATGGACACTTCGATACGAACGATCATGGATTGCGCTCCCGGGAACACCAAACCACCCATTCGAGAGCCGAACATGCCCGAAAAGCAAGAGAAGAAAGACGATAAAAAGGATAAGAAGAAGAAAAAGAAACCCGTGATACGCATGGAAGGTGGAACGATGAACGATAGCCTGAAAACAAAGGACACCCTTCACGATAACATGGACGTGAACTTTCGTCATCAGTGGGGCGTCAGACTTCCGGAAGAGGTGGAAAAGCTTCAAAGTATGGAACTTCGTCAGCCAGATGATTCCAGTTTTCAAGTTCCCGTTTACGGTAGGAAGAATTTACAGGTGGACATGAGTTCTTCGAAGAATTCCGAGGTGACTATGGACACCAAGAAAGAGGAACAGACGGAAAAGAGAGAAACGGCCGATTCGAGTAATCTTAACCGGGGAACAGAGAGTTCGCGGTCCTCGACGAAGACCGCGAACGTTTCGTCGAGCCCGATGGACGAGAGCAATGCCGTCGACGAAGACTACAACGTTCCTGCGGGAACAAAGTTGGACGCGGAGGTCTCGGCTTGGAAGGAGCTGGTACTGAGATCGAAAGTCCGTTTAGCTCCTTCGAAGGAAGAGCTCGTACCGGCGGATGGAAGACGAGCCGAAATGCTGTCCATACGGCCAGAACCTCCACGCCCGAAATTGGACGTGCAAGCTGTGCCCACGTCTAACGAACAACCGTCCAACGAAATGGAAGACGAAGATTTCTCGACGGACGTTCGTACAACCGTCAAAGGAGACACTGGTCGTACCGGAAATTTTACGGACGTTCAGAAGTCGGATAAAAGGAAATTACACACTGGCTCGACTTACTCTAAGCGAATAAATACCGCACACTCGCGACGATCACCTAGATCGCGTGGCTTTCTTCCAGTTATGGAAAACCTGAACAATGCCATCGGTTTTATAAGCTCGCAAAGAACATTCGGTAAGTAACGTATGACAATTTTTCTGTAACTCGTTCGATCGATTTAAGAATAAGATATTTGTATAGGGGTTTGCGCCGCGAGAATGAAACGCAAGATTCTAGAACCGATAATAACGCAACTTATCCGATAAAAATGAAATAAATATCAGTTTGTGTCATTTATCGAACGTTTCTTGTCAGATTTTTCTACCAGCACCGACAGTAGCTGCCAACAAAACGATCAGGCTACGGCGAAGGAAACGGAACAGTCACAAAACATTCGGCAAACAGAGCCAGAAGACAGGTTCGATCAGAGATCGAGCAACAGGGTTACCGGCGAAGATCGTGCAGACAACCGAGAGCCGAACGTTGCCAATCGTCAAGATTTAGCGGCAAACTTCGAGCAACAAACGCAATCACGGATAGATTCGGATTTGAAAGACAGTTTGAACAGAGTCACCGATAGCGAGACGGAGATTACGATGAATAGTTCGCGCGAGGAGAATCAAGATACGCGAGCAACGCGAAACCTCGATGAAAAGGACGAGTCGCGTTCCTTGTCCGATGATTTTCAAAGTAGTTTCGACTACGCGAGTATGCCTTACGAGGATGATTTTTATCCCGCATACGAATCCGTGACTTTCGAACCTGTGCCAGGTAATATGGTCGCGTTAATTTAGCGAGCGTCGCGAAATTCGCGAAATCAAATAAGATTAGAACCTTTTTCTTTTAGAGAAGTCGATCGACGAGAGAAGCAAGAAATCCGAACAAGTCCCCGCCGCGTCGGGTAACGTCCAACGCAAGGAAACGATCGTTGATTCGCCGGAAGAACTAGAATACGGGAAAGAATATGTTTCGGACGGCAATTATATTAGAATACCCGGCGATCCTTATCCTTACAGTCGAGAACATTTTAACAAATGGCGATCGTACGAGAGAGAAAACCCATCCAGACAAACCGACGTTCTTCCGTCGCTTCGGGATATGCATACCGATGCTCCTGTTTCTACCGAACACGGAGTATCGGATAAAGGTGTACGTAATTGAGAAAATCGATTAACGTTTCCCCGTCTAAGAAAATTCGGAATTTATGCGAAGACTGTACGCGATATCTTTTAGCGATTTACGAAAGGATTAACGCGTCAAAGTTTTAAACGTTTTGCTGAAAATTATTCGAAAATTTTATGCTTCGCTTTACGTCGATTTTATGTCAGTTTTATGTGCTTTTGATTAATAATGTCTAACATTACCTGTAACATTATCGAAGTGAAAATAAACTGTGTGGAAAATAAATACCGAGTCGAATATCTTTAGTATGTTTCGTTAGTATTCCCTGCAAAGCGCAGCGCGCGAAACATTTTCCGAGTTTCCACGTTCCCAAACTCTCGAGTTTTCAACCGTTCAACTTCCCCCGAATCCGGAAATTCTAACGCACATTGTACGGTAGAATCTTTACACCTTGTTTTTCTTCGCTCTGTGCGTATACGTATTTCTAATTTGCTTGTCCGGCCTCGTCTACGAACAGCGCTCGTAACTTATTTCGAAAAATTAGTCGATATAATTTTTCTTTAAATTCTCATTGTTCTTATCGATTTATATACAGAGACTCGAGATACGATGAAAACCGAGAATCCGATAAACGTGTCGAATCCTTGTGTCCGTGTTGAAAAATTAACAACGATCGAAACCAAGCATACGGATAATAGCATGAAAAATTCGGACAAATCGAAAATTTCTACCAAAGCGAGTCGCGTGGAAACTATTCAACCAGATATTCGTCTTCCCAATCACGAACTCGATACGAAAACTTGGCAGCGATTCAAGAAAAACAGTAAGTCCTGTATCCGTTTTTTAGCCAAATCGGTCGTGAGTCACAAATAATACGATCTAAAATCGAATTTTTAGAAGCAACAACCCTAATCCAGAAACCTAAAGTGAACCACAACGTAAAACAGAACGAAGAGCATAAGCCGGAGGATATTGTTGCCCTGAGAAACGAACAGTTATCGTGTACGTGGTTAATAGCCGGTCTATTACTTAATAATGTTGTATATAATTTTGAAGGTTTTTCCGCGATACTTGATATTTACTCGATTATCTGTTTGCAGCGGTGAGCAAAGACGAAATCGTGAAAATCTACGAATCGAAGAATTACGCGTATCTTCGAGCCGAAGAAATGAAAAATTTTCACTTGAAAATCACGAAATCACGCGCGAACGGACACGAGACTACTCTCTAGTAGCAGATTTCTTATTTCATTTTGTCTAAACGTCGAATCTAAGAAGCTATACGATCTCGATAATTTCATTTTTCACAAATACGATCAAATTTCGCTATTAGTTGGAAGAAATTTCCGAAAATTTCTATTCAAGGGCATACGCCACTCGTATCAAAATTCAAATCTGGTAACATCGTGTTGTTTGGCAACACTGTTACCATGAACCGTTTGAAATTCACTTTTCTGCCAAATCGGGTTACGTCGAGGCGCAGTCGGTTCAGTATATCGCTAACGATACAGAATAGAATTCGGTTAAAAGTTTAGTTCGTACTACTCTGGACCAAAACGAAAATGTGTCGTAAAGATCTAAAACTGTAGGAAATATATCGCGTCTACCGTCTCCGTTTATACAGAAAAAACCTTCCACGCAATCGTTTCCTAACGGATTCATAGGTTTGATTTACGTGTTAATAGGCGTGTATACGTATACGCGTACTTCATCGTTTCCTGTCTAATCCAGGTGAGTTTAATTTACAGAAATTATCATCGATGTTTCCGCGGACGACCCGACAATGAACGTATAATTATATCAAGTTCAATTACGCGACTCGATATTGCTCGAATGCAACCAGATCAAGTTCTCGTTATCATTTTTATCATTTTTATCATTTTTATCATTTTTATCATTTTTATCATTTTTATCATTTTTATCATTTTTATCATTTTTATCATTTTTATCATTTTTATCATTTTTATCATTTTTATCATTTTTATCATTTTTATCATTTTTATCATTTTTATCATTTTTATCATTTTTATCATTTTTATCATTTTTATCATTTTTATCATTTTTATCATTTTTATCATTTTTATCATTTTTATCATTTTTATCATTTTTATCATTTTTATCATTTTTATCATTTTTATCATTTTTATCATTTTTATCATTTTTATCATTTTTATCATTTTTATCATTTTTATCATTTTTATCATTTTTATCATTTTTATCATTTTTATCATTTTTATCATTTTTATCATTTTTATCATTTTTATCATTTTTATCATTTTTATCATTTTTATCATTTTTATCATTTTTATCATTTTTATCATTTTTATCATTTTTATCATTTTTATCATTTTTATCATTTTTATCATTTTTATCATTTTTATCATTTTTATCATTTTTATCATTTTTATCATTTTTATCATTTTTATCATTTTTATCATTTTTATCATTTTTATCATTTTTAGAGGAACGGACTGTGACGTTGCATGTTACGTTATCCAGTGGTATAACACCATGCCCCACTTAATTAAATCTTATATTCAATTAGCTCTTCGTATTAATTGTACCTATTGTTTTATTTGAAAGGAAGAGTCTCGTTTCCGTAGTTAACGCGATCGACTTAAATCGAAAGAAACTCGTAGAATCCAGAGGAGGTTTTAAGGGTTTCTCGATCCGAGAAACGAGCAGCGGAGCCGAGTATAAATTCCAACTCGATCCACCTGTCGAGGATCGCGGTAGGCGATGCAGAGGGGTGGGGTGATCGCGGCAGAGGAACGATCGCGATCGGCTAGGTCGTTGAAGCGGACACGTGTAGTTAGGTAGGCATCGTGTGGATCTTCGAGAGCGGCTATCGGATACAGCGACGGTGTTATTCGTGCGAACTATCGACCCGTTCGCTTCGAGATGCGTGTCTACCGGTCACGAACGCGTCCGTCCGCTTCTGGCCGGAGGCTGTTATTTCGCCGACGGCAACCAGCATCTTCCGAATCGTCGCGTCGACCCTATCTAATCATTCAAATCGTGCCCGTCCTAATCGCGGTATACGCAGCGCTGTGCCACGGCTCATCGCTCTTCTTTGGTTCCAGCTCTCGACTTCCACACACGCCAATAACGCAATAATGCTAGATTGCTCGGCCCTCTGATTGCTCTCGTGCCGCGTAACTCGTCCTCTCCTCGATAGGTTATACGGCAGCTGCACCGTTCCGCCATTTTCATTCTTTTTTCCTCTACCGTTAAGTTCGCGTTGCACTGTCGCGTTTCTACCGGAACTATCGAAACCCCTGCAGCGATAACAATCGATACCTCGTAACGCGCTTCATCGGATCGATCAATTACTTAAACGAGTCACCACGGAAAAATGAAAGAAAGGAATACTTAATTTATCGAATCCGATCTATCCCCTTAAAGGAAACTTGCGTTCTTCTTCGTCCGAAAATTGGTGAAATTATTCTCTTAACCGACGGTTAACAGCCTTTGATCGAACTTATCGTCCGTTTAGTCGAATAGGTTACGTTGGAATTTAAGAAGAAATCATATTTTACTCGCGAACTCGAAGCGCGAATGTTCAGTTTACCGCATGTTTTATATACTCCAATAATTTATGGAGTATATGGTGCCGTTCTACATATATCATTAAAGAAGGATTAGTATCGTTGCGAAGAAGTGTGTAATCTACTGATTCCTACACAAACATTGATGATATAATTATTACGAGAAGATAGATAAGGCTGTAAAGCTATTCTTGGCATAGAAGAGACCGAATCGGATAGGATTAAAGGTACTATTTTCACAAAATAACTCGCGTTAACGACTGCCGCGTGTCTACGGTCATCATTAGCGATTAAAGGTTAGTTCGGAAGAGAAACCAGTTTCCTCGGCAACGAGATTCGGTGTTTTTCATTAATCCTGTCCTCGATCGGCGAAACTCATCCGCGGTGAAAAACTCGATACACTGAATTACGTCGAGTCGTTTTTCAAGTGACTTACAACTTTCGTGACGCGAGGTATACACGGAAGGAATTTATAAAACCGAACGGATAGATGTAAGCTCGTGGAACATAACGCGGAGGAAATTGCGATTGGCGGTCTCGCCGAGTAGAACTGTCCAAGGTGGCGTGATTACGTGTGGAAATCAAGACCAGTGACGTTATCGTTCCGCGATTCGCTCCTCGGGACGTCCAAGCCTCGATACATACTTCGTTTCTTTATTCGCGAGACTAACGGCCTCGCGCCATTGGCGTAACTAACATTTTTGCACGGGAGAGGACTAGTCTCGGATCTACTGGTCTCGCTAGGCGTTTAGGTCGCCGCGCGTACGATCGCGATGGATTCGAGCGACGCGCGTCGCGTCTCCGCGCGATAGTTCGAGATATCGGGACGATCTAGCTTCTCGGTCTGGTTCCTACCTAGTTACGCCAATGCCCCGGAGTAACGAGTTTCACACGATCGGCGAACGATGATTTCTGCTCTCGATGGACTCGAGGAAGAGAGAGAATCGCGGCCTGGCAATCAGCGCGTCGTTGCTTTGCTCGATTTTACGAAGTTCTTACGGATTTAATTAAACTTTTATTTTCGTCAACGTTTACAAGTGTTCGGAACGGAATCGAACGGTACCGTTTCACCTAATTTTTCCGATCGTTTCTGCGAGAAGGTTATAAGAAGAAGCGAGACAGGAAGTTAAACAAGCATGATTACGTATAAATCAATTTGTTATGGATCTAAGTTTTCCTGCCGTACCGTGTTCCTGCTATCTTAAATAGAAAAGAAACAACGATAACGAACACGGAGGTTTAAGTATTTTGAAAATCTTCTTAACGCGCGGACATATCTTCTTTATGTATTTTATATATATTTCCTCCGAAAGCGAAGTGTCAGTTGACGATATTTGCGAGGATCGTTCAATTTCTCTTGGTATACAGCTACCGCTTTAACGCGGTCCGTCTATTAGTTTAATTAATTCTTGTGGGCGAATTCGATGAGAAAGCGTGCGATATAAAGGTTGTAGGTTGTACGGAAGCAACGTAGAAAGGTGCACTCTCGGTCGAGAGTCAGCGGGCTTGGTCCAGGATTGGCATTGGTAGCAGACGCGGTTTTATTTACGACTAGAATCGCTGACTGCTCCGGGTTCGCTCCTCCTTGACCCCTCTCCTTCTCCGTTTTCTCGTCTGGTTCGCACAGGGGTTAGAACGATCCTATCTCCGGACGTGGCCGCGGATCATTCCCTTCGGAGTCTCTGCACTATAAAAGATCGCCCTATGGTTGTATATTACTCACGCCAGCCTGTTTTCACTTGGCGCGGCGATCGGTCCCGATATCATAACTCCTTGTCGTACCGTCGTTCAACCAGCAAATCTACCCGACGACGAAGGCCTCCTCCTCGTTGCGATAGCAATTCCGATATACCCCGGCTACCCTGTAACGCGACCACGAATATCTCGATTAGATGAAACTTTTACTCTCTGTTGTTCTTTTTTCTTGGTTGGTCCTTCGTTAAAAAAAAAAAAGAAAAATAAAAATAGAAAGAAAATGTATGGTCCAATTCGAAGATATTCGCCGTCGAAAATTTGAATTCTCACATTTTCTATACGTATATTCTCAAGAAGTACTTATAACGCAAAAGTTGTTGCGTTTCGCGTTTTCAGAGATCTTCGCCCTTGCTCCAAAGATTTACCTTCCTATTTTTCCGAACGAACAATCGTAGTCCTTCGCGAGCTCGTAAGAACGATGCGGTGCGAGTTTCTTTTCTCGCCGTGTCCGCGATGATCGAAGGTCATCGAGAAGGCAACGAAAGCAGCTCGTGGCAACGCGTTAGGTTAGGCCATCCTCGAGGCAGTCGATAATCCAAGGCGGTGGGTGCGATTATTCCCGTCGACATACCGAAATAGATGGTTTACAGCCTCCCTTAAATACGTCAACGTTTATGCGTGAATTCCCGAAAGTAAATCGACGAAGAATGTTTTCGTACGACGTCCGCCTCGTCGCGAAGCGAAGCCAACTTAAACGTTGAAAGCGTTTTGGCTTACCAACGTCGTTATTAATAATAACGCGAACACATCCTTTGTTTACGATATCATGGTCTTCGTTAGAAGGAACCCTTTCGCGTCAAGCGAATAGAGTTTACGCAACGGACATCGGAATCAACGATTTTTCACGAGTTATTTGCACGACTCGTTCGTTATTAACGTAGACGCGTACATACAGTTGTCCGTGGTATACATACGTTATATTTGAACAT